CAGTTTCCACAAAACCAGATGCACAACAACAACAACAACAACAACAACAACACCAAGGACGGAGCCAGTTATACTTGTTATGGGTGCGGGAAAACTGGACATTTCAGACGAAATTGTCCCAATGCGAACACCCAGGCGACGTGAGCAGCAGGAAGAGTGTTGACTATAGGGCAAGGAGAAGCGGTTCAGGATCCCGCTGTCGTCACCGGTACGTTTCTCCTTAACCACTCTTATGCATGCATCCTGTTTGATACCGGGGCAGAGCGAAGCTTTGTGAGTAACAAATTCAAACACTTGCTAAAACAACAACCCCAAAAGCTTAATGAAACCTTTACGGTGGAAATGGCTAATGTGAAAACAGAATCAGCCAGGGAAATCTATGTAGGATGTACCCTAACTTTAAATCAACATACCTTTCAAATAAACTTGATGCCTGTAACTATTAGGAGTTTTGATGTGATTATCGGCATGGACTGGTTGAGCCCCCATCATGCCGAAATTTTGTGTCGCGAGAAGGCCGTTCGCCTTCATCTCCCAAATCACGAAACCCTAATTATATACGGAGACAAACTCAGCACGAACCTTCGTCTTATCTCTTGCATTAAGGCACAAAAGTGTCTACAAAAGAAGGACTTGGCGTTTCTGGCACACATAGTAGATAAGTCCAAGGAAGAGGTCAATATTCGAGACATCCCAGTGGCTTGCGACTTCCCGGACGTCTTTCCCGAAGATCTTCCGGGGATACCCCCAGAAAGACAAGTCGAGTTCCGAATTGACCTGGTACCGGATTTGGGAGATTGGGTAAAAAGTGTAAAATTTGCAAAAAAGGTGGACTAAAATGCAAATCTTTTAACTAAAGGGTTGAAACTTTCCAAAGTTTACTTTTGGGCTTAAAACATTATTTAAATAAGTGTTTGGGTCAAAGGTGTCAAGAAAAATGGTTCAAGGACCTAAAATGTCATTCTTTTTATAAAAAGGGCAAAAATTGTCAACTTTACAAAATAAGGGGTTGAAAATGTCAAACAAATGTTTTTGGTCAATTATGTTGATAATAATAATAATTGGGGCAAAATATACAAAACTTTATAACTTATGGGTTGTAAATAGAAAAATAACTATTTTTATAAATCTATAAATCGTTATAAAACAAATTCGTGATTTATACGACACATCGATTAAACAACTCGCAACATAAATTCTATATAAAACAAGTAAACGTTCAAGTGGTTGGGCTTTAGAGATTCTAATCATGCTTAATGGGCCTTCGTGACTCATTAACATAGCTTCTGGGCCCAACATAAATAATACATGTTATTGGGTCTCCTATGACCCAATTACATGCTTAATGGACCCTCAATGGTTTTTACATGCTATTGGGCCTCAGTGGCCCATTATGCATTACTAGTAAGGTCCAAATAAATTATATGCGAAATGGGCCAACGCGCTTTTCGTACACTCCACAGCCTTAAATAACATACGAAATTAGTAGGGCCTAGTAGTCCTCTTCTCCTCGTCTGTTAGGATTACCTTCTCTTCAAGTGAAATAAAATTAGATCATTAATCAAGGTTAATCAAATTCATGTGGATTAAGTGAGTAATAACGGGTGACACCAATAAGTGTCGGTCGTAGTCTGTAGTTGTAATCAAAGTCTCCTAGATGGAGAGCGAGAGTTTGTGTATAAATCTATATGGGGGTGACTCCCCCAAACCTAAGCTGTTCGCTACAGTTAGACTCGGCCAGTCTAGGGTGACAAAGTCTTAAGATCAAATTTTGGTGTTCATTTGAATACCAAAACAGACGAACTAGTCATTATCATGCATGGTTATAACGACTCACGTAGAAATCCGACATCATTAATCAAGGGAAATCATTAATCAAAGGAAATCATTAATCAAGGGAAATCATTAATCAAGGGAAATCATTAATCAAAGGAAACTCATTAATCAAAGGAAACTCATTAATCAAGGGAAATCATATCCATTCGATGTAACGATTCAATAAAGCAAAAACAATCATGACTTTTTATTCGGAAGACATCGGGTTTTCCGGGGAAACCAATCTTACTCATTTGTACTTTCAAAAACTATAATGCAAAACTTCTCATTTATTCATGTTTTGAAATCATTCACGCATATACTTACTGGATCATCACAACATTTTCAAGAAAAGTTTTATTACAGAAAATATCGGATTTTCTGGGTTTTACCAATGACATAAACTACTTTACATCAAACACATTTATGAACTCACCAACATTATATATGTTGACCGTTTTCAAAATAACTTGTATTCTCAGGTAATCGTTAGACATTAGACAAGGAAGCATCCAGTGTGTTGAAAGTTTCTTTTGTAGTTGCTAATCACCAAACACTTTATATTTGGAAATCATGTAATGTAAACCTTGTACTTGATGTAAACAATGCCAGTTGTAATATGTAATGGTTGGTGATGCACGTGTTATGTTTCATATATATTCATTGTGATGATATTTCAATTTAAGTCACGCGAGCCCTCGGACGTTTCCGTCGTCTGGTTCGGGGGTGTGACATACGCCCAACGTACTAGCGGATCATCCGCTTTTCCATATTGCACGAGTACGCTGCGCGTACCCTCAAGTACGCCCAGCGTACTACCAAAATGCAAGCCTTTTTCCTCAACGGACAAATTGTGCAACTTTTGATAAAGTTAAGAGCAATAATAACAATACTAATATTGGGATGTTACACAAAATGAGTTTTTAAAAAACGTATTTGGATTAGTTTTTTAGTGGCAAATGTCAATAAGTCAATAAGTTAAAAAATGTTTGGCTGAAAATTGTATTTTATTTGTTTTTTTATTCTAATAAGATATAAATCATTTTTAAAAAGTCACAATTTGTTACTTCTTGTTCAAAGGCTAAACAAAAAAGAGTTTTAAAAGTCTTTATTAGGTATCAAAACATTTTTTTAACGACTTTTCAAGAAGTCAATGAATTTTTAGATGAACACCCAAACACCATTCTAATCTTACTCCAAATTAAAATAAAAACCATGTGTGAATACTTTCATTCTTCATTCTCATCACTAGCATGCATCGATACAAAGGCAAATGTAGTAATAATGGGGTTTAATCAATGTTTTAAAAACTGGTTCGACCGGCCGGTCGAACCAGTTGGATCGGGAACCGGGAAAGAAAACGATTCAAATATTACTGGTTTATGTCTATTTCTGAAACGGAACGAACCGGTCGTTTTTTTTTATAAAAACTCGGTTAAACCCATTAAATTAAATAAAAGCACACAGAAAAAAAATCATTTTGCATAATAAACTTTGATGGTCTTTTCCACATCTATTTATATTTTTCTAAATAAAAACATATAGTAATGTTATGAAGTGTTTTTGATGTGTTTATCTTCATCTAAAACTATATTATGTTTCTATATTATATATATATATATATATATATATATATATATATATATATATATGTATGTGGATTGATATAAACTTAATTTTATTTGTTATTTTAATGTATTTGCGTTGATCTACAACATGTTCTTATGTGTATTTTTAAAACTATATTATGTTTCGGTATTATATATATATATATATATATATATATATATATATATATATATATTATGTATGTGGATTGATATAAAACTTATGGTTATTTCTTATTTTAATGTATTTGCATTGATTTACAGCATATTCTGATGCGTATTTTTTATGTTTGAACTTGTGGGCGTTAAATTATTGATTTATGTATCTATGTATGTGTAGAAAATAGGAAAAATGATGAAAGTTATAGAAACCGGTTAACCTGGCGGTTGAATCGGTTAAACTGAGAACCGATCATCATACCGATTCTACTAAAAACCGGTTTTTAATACATTGGGTTTAATTAACCGTATTATGGATATTTTTAGTTATTAACATAGATATTATAAGATATAAGTGTTTGAAATTAATAACAAATAAAATACAAAATAAATCGTATTTTTGGATTTCTCATATTCGAAATATCCTAAATTTTAAAAAATTACTATTTGAATATGAATCCGAAAAATCAGAATATCCAAAGTTTACGATAATTTGGGATTGAATTTTTGGATCGAATTTTCGGGTTCAAGTATTTTTGAACATTCTAATGAAGATGAAGGGTGGACTAGTATTTTTGAACATTGTAATGAAGAGGAATGGTGGACTGTGGGGCTTGGAGAGCTTTGAGAGGTAAATCAGCATCACAGACTCTTTCATTGCTATATACATTAAAATTAGAACTAGACGTAAGATCCATATATTATATGAGTATATTTAAAAGAAAAATTAAATTTGAAATTCTAAATATTTGAGAAATTTAAATTTATAAGAAAAGTAAGAAAAATATTGAATTATTAAATTTAAAGTGTTTTTTTCTCTTTTAAATTTAAAAATAATAATAATTTAAATAAATAAACAAAGGAAACTAATAAAACTTTAATTTAATAATTTTGAAATTATAAAGAAAATTCATTAATGAAATTAATATGTATTTATTATTATATTTAAATTTAAATATTATGTGGAATTTAATAAAATAAAAACCTATAAAATAAATTATGAAATAAAAATTAATTAAAAGTAATCAAAAAATAACATGTAACAAAATGAATTAGAATGCAAAATGTGATAAAAATATTTTTATTTATTAAAGTAGATATTATATTTATTTTATCTGTCTTTATATTAGGTAACAAGGAAAACGTAACATTTTTTTTTTCACGAACGTATTCCAAGGGGTGTAAATACTTTCATACATAAATTCCGGAGCTTAAATGTATTATCAACATAACCTGGGGGACTAATCTGAAGTTTCCGATATTCGGTAAACACGCAGGAGTGGTCTTCATCTGGAGCGAAGTTCGCGGTTTATACTCGCTTCAAAACATCCACAGCTCCGCCTTTCACTGCCATCGTTAACAGCCGCTGAATTCTCCTCCTATATGTACCTACGCATTAGCCCTACTTTGTAAAGCACCATCTCCGCCATTACCACTACGTTTCTCTTCTAATATTCTTTCAGTTCCTGAATCAGTAAGCATGGCCAAGATTAAGATTGGAATCAACGGTTAGTTTTTGATCGATTAACGTTCTCTATTACTTTTTGATCGATGCTGTTTGATTTGTTTTTGTGCAATTTTTTTTCATTCGTTCTGGTTTTGTTTCGTATCAGGATTCGGAAGAATCGGCCGTTTGGTGGCAAGAGTTGCTCTACAGAGCGATGATGTTGAACTCGTCGCCGTTAATGATCCTTTCATCACTACCGATTACATGGTGCATTTCTCGATCCTGTACAAAAAATTTCGCTCGTTTCTATTTCTATGTTGTTTGAATTTCGCAGTTGATCGCTCATCTTTACGTTTGATCCGATGATTTAATGTTTATTCGATTATAAGGTCGCCTGATTTTAATATCGTTTTGATTTGTACTTGCAATCGATCGCAATCTGGTCTGGATTATACATTTGAAAATCCTGTAAACGGATAACCTCTGATTTTGAAAATTCAAACGCAGTTTTTGAATTGATAACTCGATTTTACAGTTTCAGAAGTAAATCGTTTGACATTTCTTAAGAGATTCTAGTTTTGATGGAGGTTGTGTATCATTATTTCGCTAGAACATTCAGTGATAGCATTTGATTTCGTATGTGAATTCAAATTAACTTTCGAAACCAAAGAATCCATGATTGCTGCAATCAAACGATGCGGAAGCTAAAGAAGGCATGTAGTTTAGATGGTGAAGATGATGAATAATTGAATCACAACTCTTGTGAATTTCATTTCTCCAGATTTACATGTTCAAATACGACAGTGTTCATGGCCCATGGAAAAAGCACGAGGTCAAAGTCAAGGATTCCAAGACTCTTCTCATTGGCGAAAAGCCTATCACCGTTTTTGGCATGAAGTATCATTTCTCATTCTCCATCCTTGCACCTCACCTAACACAACACCAAATTACATTTCTAACCTTTCTCAATTGATTACAGAAACCCAGAAGAGATCCCATGGGGTGAAGCTGGAGCTGAATATGTTGTTGAATCCACTGGAGTTTTCACTGATAAGGACAAAGCTGCTGCTCATTTGAAGGTATATAGTATTATTCAATATCCATTCCATAATCTTTTCAATGCTAAATTCCTACAAGTGAAACATATATATATGTCCTGATATTTACTTTGGTTTGGTTTCTTATTAGGGAGGTGCAAAGAAGGTTGTGATTTCTGCTCCAAGTGCAAATGCTCCCATGTTTGTCATGGGTGTCAATGAGAAAGAATACAAGTCTGATATCACCATTGTTTCTAATGCTAGCTGCACAACTAACTGTCTTGCTCCACTCGCAAAGGTCAAATCCATCAAAATGTCAAATAATTTCAACATTCTTCTGGTTCCTGATGTAAAAATTGCTCCTCAAACCTTTTGCTTTTTTTTTTTTTTTAAACAGGTTATTAATGACAAATTTGGTATTGTTGAAGGCCTTATGACCACTGTTCACTCCATCACAGGTCAGTGTATACTTTTTATATAATATAGAATAATGTTGAATTATTATTTTTATTATTTTTTTAAATAGTCATGTATATCACTCAGCAACCCAGAAGACTGTTGATGGTCCATCAATGAAAGATTGGAGAGGTGGAAGAGCTGCTTCTTTCAACATCATTCCTAGCAGCACTGGAGCTGCCAAGGTATGAAAATCTCAACATATTTTTTTATCAGCTAACAGCTAGTTTTTCAGCTATCAACTGCTTCTTTAGGTATCAACTAGCTTTTCAGCTAACTGGAAACCCTATTTTTCCTTTTAAGTTAAAAAGGAAAACCGATAAATATTTTTGTTGTTTTTGAAGGCTGTGGGAAAAGTTCTTCCTGCGCTTAATGGAAAACTTACGGGCATGGCTTTCCGTGTTCCTACTGTCGATGTGTCAGTGGTTGATCTTACTGCCAGGCTGGAAAAGCCAGCCTCCTATGACGAAATCAAGGCTGCTATTAAGTAAAAAAAAAATCGAAAATTAATATTTTTTTTTTAATTTAATAATTTTACAAATGATGTAAAGTAATTAATTATTTAACTTTTTATTTTTAGGGCCGAGGCTGAAGGAAGCCTGAAGGGAATCTTGGGTTACACCGAGGATGATGTCGTGTCGACAGACTTTGTGGGTGACCAAAGGTAAAAAAGAAAAAGGTCATTTTGGTCATTTTACTAGCAGTGTTAGAATTTCATGGATTCTCTGTGTGTTGTCTAGAACACTGTGGGCCCACAAATATATTTACATTAACAAAAGCATTTTTTTTTGTGAATGGAAAAAGGTCGAGCATATTTGATGCGAAGGCTGGAATTGCACTAAACAACAACTTTGTTAAGGTTGTGTCTTGGTATGATAATGAATGGGGATATAGGTATGATTTTTAGTACTTTTAATTTTATTTTATATAATTTAGTTTTTGAAAAATCAATTTTGACTTTTTTTTTTTAATTTGTTTTTATTGTAGCAACCGTGTTGTTGATTTGATCCGTCATATGTCCAAGTCTTAGATGGGTCGGGTTGCAGTTGAAGATTGGAAATGCATACGCGGGGGATTGATTTGGCTCCATGGTTGTGGAGTTTTTAGGGAATAATTTGAGTTTTCATGTCATGTAACGATGAACTCTCTTCTTTGTGTTCTTTTTTCACAATTTTGAGTAAAAATCAGGGGTTTTGTTTTGGTATCTCTATTATAAACAATATTCAAAAAGTTATACCCTTTTTGTTAAGAAAAAATAATTAAATCTTTCACTTAACACATAAATCCCAAAAAGATAATATGTGGAGCCATCTTCATTACGTTTTATCTTTAATACATATTTTCAAATTAAATATTATTATACCATCTTTGAGAAACTAAGTGCTGAAATCGATCAAGAAAAAGTGTCGAATCAAGGCACAATTTGAAGTTACGATCAAAGTTTGGTTTGATAAAGGATGGATGATTCAAGAAAGTTTGTGTTTCAATCAAGATATATTCTTCAACCGCGTTATTGTTTATGTAAATCGTTCACCCCTCAAACACTATTGCATTAATGTGTGGAAAATTGTTACAAATGAAATGATTCAAGGTTTTGAAAATTTAGAATAAATTGAAATTGTGATCTTTATACAGCTCCACACTATTCCTTAATTTGGTTGTGCAAGACAAAACTTAAATGTTAAAAAGATATAAAATAAACTTTTAAGCAAATGTTATAGTTCTAGTAATGTTTGATATGATAGATACACGAAGTTTTTTAACGATACAAATGCCCATTGGTTACGTCTAAATTGAGACATACATGCTTAATGGAATTCGACATGTAAAAGTTTGAAACAAAAAGATACTTTAAAAGCACTTCACACCTACGTTGTCAAAAGTCATAGGGTAATGCCATATCCAGAGTCGTTGGTTACTTATCAGACGATTAACCGAAATGCCTAAAGTTCTTAAACATACAAGTATACAACTACTTATTCATCGAAAATTTATCATCCTGCAAGAGCAAATCCTTTTAATATGTTCAAAATTAAATGAGTTTGAAATGAAAAACATTATGTTTTTCTAAATGATAAAACCATAAAAGCTACATTAATTTTGATTTTCCAATTCACCCCTATATTTGTAGAAGTACAATATCATCAATGATGATTTTGTTGACCCTTTACTAACATAGTTACATTACACCTTGCAATGTTCATCTAGAAGATTTATGTATGCTTAAAGACATTGAGAGATGGCTAAAAAATTGGAGCACAAAGGTGATAGAAGATTTATGTAAACCAATGTTGATTGATGGATAGTGTACTAAAAGCAAATTGTCTTCCAATTTCACATTTTGAACAAATGAAGAATAACCAAGGAGTTCAAATTTCAAAATGATCATTGACTACTAATAGGAACTGTATTATAACATCATTTCTATATGAATTTCATCAGCCTGTAAACATAAAACAATTAAAAAGAACAGCAAAAAGTTCGTGATTCACCTGGTTATTCTCTCAAAAGATGACACAACAATGTCTTGAAAAGATAAGCTAAAATCTGCAAGAGAATTGTAGAAATTCAACATGGCGACCTGCGGATTAAAAGAAAAAGAAGCAAAATTTAGGATAATTTACCTGTTTAGCGAGAAGGATTAAGCCCTAGAAGCATCTGGCTCCCTGTGTTTGGAAGATACATGACATTGTTACTCCTAGCCAAAGTTGCAGAAATCTCCCTCGATGCTTCAATTCTCCTAAGCTCGATCAATCCCATTCCAGCAGCAGAAGTGGCATCAGAAATCAATTTCGCAGACTCGCTCTCACCTTCAGCCCTAATAATCGCCGCCCGTCGTTCCTGCTCAGATTTCGCCACCACAAACTTAGATCTCTCCGCCTCCTGCTGCGCCACCTGTTTCTGCTCCACCGCCTTCGAGAACTCAGCGCCGTACGATAAGTGAGTGATCGCAACGTCGTCAAGGACGATATTGAAATCCTTAGCCCTGCGGACCAAACTATCACGAACCAAAGCCGAAACCTGTGGACGCTCAGTGAGAAGCTGATCCGCGTTGAATTGAGCAACGACGGACTTCAGAACTTCGTTTCCGATCGATGGAAGAACCTTCTCGTCGTACTCGAGACCAAGGGTTTTAAAAATCGCCGGCAATCGGTTGACTTCGGGGCGTGAGAGGACACGGAGAGTTAGGTTAACCATTTGAAGATCTTTCGTGCCGGAGATCGATGAGAATGTGTGAGGCCTTGTACGTATGTCAAAGATGTACGGCGTCTGGAGCCATGGGATGAGGAAATGAGTGCCTTCCCCAACAGTCTCGTCAATGACTCCACGGAAACGATCGAAGAGAACGGCGCGCTGGCCGCCATCGACGGTGTAGAGGGAGGAATTGACGACGGTGACAGCGGTTCCTAGACCGAAGGCGGCGCGTGCTATATTGGTGAGGAACGACATGGCGGAAGGATTGGTTCCCATTTTTTCCGGCTGAATTTGCAGAAAATCGATAGAGGGAAAAACAAGGGTTTTAGTCTTCTTTTAGACAGAAATTAATCGAGGGTTTTAGTGGTAACTTTGTGTGTTGTCCAAGTAATTTGGAAATGTCCGGCCCAATTGAAACTGGCCCAATTGAAACGGGCTTAATTGCATTATTTAAAAGTGTACTTTTGAATTAAGGGAATATTGTAGTTTATATAATGTTTTATTATTCATATGCATTTCAAATAAACCCATGTCATTGTAAAACATCTCGATGCATTTATATATCATACATTTAATCACAAATATGTTTAATGCATTTACTTGTTCAATGCCCACCTTAAATATTGTAATGCATTGTTTTAGTCCTAAATCAATCATGGAATTTGATTTATCTAAGTAATTGGTTTTGCTAAACATGTAAAGTCATGGAATTTGATTCATTTAAGTAATTGGTCTTGTTAAACATGTAAGATCATATGTCAAATGTGTTTCTCCCAAACTTGAGGTTTTCACTCATAACCTCGTATCAATGTCTCGTCAAATTGAGCCAAATTGAATGAGACAAGCCCAAAACAATTTATCGTTGTCATTACATTACAAGTTTTTTTAAAGAAGTTTCTTTTTGAATTAAGTCATCAGAATATAAATAAATGACTAATTTTAATCATTTTATTTTGTTTGGAAACGATGCTAAATATTATAAAGTTCTATATGTGATTTTAAAAAACAAAATGTAATAAATATTTTTGTTTGTTATATTTCACAAAAATAATTTATCATGAAAAAGTGAATGGATAAATTAATAAAAAAAATCCTAAATATATATTGACATATGTCAATCGGCGTAATTAGTGGGTTGATTTAAGGAGTTAAGTCCCAAGTTGTAGCCTCATAGGCGTGGGTTGATTTAGAAAAAGCATTAGTGGAGTCCGACCATAGCAGCTCAAGTCGTCGTGGGTACAGAAAGAGATGAGAAAAAGAGTCGTCAGTAGATGTAGTGGCTTTGAATGCTTTTAATTATGTTAGTTGTTTGGGCATTTTATAATGAAAGTGTAGTGAGATCATTAAAAATAGTTTTTCATTGACAAAGTAACCAAATGGCCCAAAATGTGAATGAAATGGAATAGTGTCCGTAGCGCCGGTATAGCGGTAATTGAAATAGCGGTAAATAGCGCCGCTAATAGCGGTACCGCTAAATGAAAACGCTAAACTGAAAATAGCGGTTTTTGACCTCCGCAAAACGCTATAGCACCGCTATTGCGCGCAATTGATAGCTTAGACCTGCATAGCGAGAGGAGAGAGAAAATAGAGGGTTTTGATTGGCTGGTTCTTTTTTTTATTTTACTAAAATAAAATTTCTTAAACTAACACACCACCATTTCCTACCTTTTACAACTTTGATGCTAGCATTCATTCTAGCTTATGTGGCATGAAAAAATTTGATGTGTCAACATGTTAAGTATGTTACAATTCCCTTCAGTTTTATGACTTTTATCAGACTGTCATGTCATCCCACGCTACCGCATGGTACAGTGGGTACTCCTTGTGGCCTTATCATTAAGCTTATTAAATTAAAACAGAAATAATACACACGTCCTCTAATTAAGTATTTCATTAATGTAATTGACCATGTACCCACCCTATAAATTAGTGCTGAGTTACAAGTTGTACTCAACAAACTCACTACATACCATTTAAATGTCGATCGTATCAAAAAGACAAATACTCTCATTTTTCCATCGCTATAAGTCCAATCAGTTCGTACTTTGCATGAGTCATTATTCATAGCTCATGACCCCTCATGATTATTTAAAGATAAATAAATTAAATAATACGCAACGTCAACAATACAAATCACCAAAACATAGTAATGCATCGTTACTTTATTTACTCGGTAATCGAATCAAGTCATGCTCATCTTGGTTATAGGCTCATTACATATGTATAAATGACATGTCTCCAGCTATTTTCAAATACTAAACGTCATTGTTTACATATAATTAATCTATAATAATGACATAATACTAATTCGTGCATGTTTGTATTGTAATAGGCCGATAAAAAAAACATGACGAGATGTCTATGTTATATTTATTATATACATCTTCAAAGTAATCAATTTTCTTAGTTACAATATGTTAAAAGAGATATGATATTATAACTTAATAAATTTAGTAAATTTAATAAATTTATTATATAGATTCAATCGCGAGGACTAGTTAAGATAGAGGCATGACCGCATGAGAGAGCAACATGTCATGCCTTTCCTTTTGCGTCTCAGGCCATGTGAAAAGGTAGCTTTACAAGTACCTTCTTCATAGTGGGGGGAAAAGTTGGATAATCTGAAGAAACTAATTGGAAATGAAATTATTACATGAATTATTGTTGCCAAAAGAAAGAGATATGAAAGCTACATCTTTCAAATCTTCATTTATAATATTTAAGATTATATTTAAAGGTTTTAAAATTTTATAATAATCACAATTGAATATAATTCTGATTAGATTTATTAGAACAACAAAGATTTTATGATTGGAAGAAACTAGCGGAAAACTTGCAATAATAACTGCAATAATGTAGAAGACTAGGAGATAGTAACAAATATAACAACCAAAAATGCAAAAGAAGAAAACAAGTAAGAAAATAACGTGGAAGGAAAATATCAACTAATGGGGTCATTAGCCCAAGCGGTAAGCACCCAACTAGTAGTGAGTCACCATCACCGGAAACATCAATAAACAACAGGCCAGTCTTTAGGGATATCAACGATCAATGGGCCATTCTTGAACATCCAAAGAGAAACAAATAGAAAAAATGATGAACCACACAAGTTTATGTTGAGTTGTGGAGATTAATTTTGTTAAATGTGATTCGAGCATTTGGAGCATTCTCATTGAACATTTGGAGCACTTAGATCTCAATGGAACACTTGATATTCATGAAGCAAGTGACAAAGGAACGGATCAAGTAACAAAGGAACGGATCTTCCAAAAGAGGGTTTGGAGCAACTTGGAGTGGTCTAGAGCAACTTGGAGTGGCTTGGAGCACTTGGAGCAACATAGAACAACTTGGAGAAACTTGGAGGGACGAATCTTGGCTGTTCAGGCGGTTAATGGGGTGGTCGAGGTGAATCAAGAGCAGGAGATAGGTTTGGAGAGGCGACTGGCGAAGAGGAAGCGGACCCATGGTCAGACTCAGCTAGCAACGTCTGAGCAGCTGTATGTGGCCATGTATAGCGTTAGAGTCTCGAGGGGCTATGATGTTTACACGAAGGATGAAGGAGCACATGAGCGTGTGCGCGACAAGTCTAAATGTGGCAGGTGCGGATGGAAGGGCCACCTCCGCCAAGAATGCACCCTGGAAGTAGAATTGTGTCATCGTTGTCATCATCCTGGTCATATCAGTGCGAATTGACCGCGCTTAGTGGTTGGGGCAGCTCGGGTTCCATCGCAGGTGCTTCGGTAGGAAGGGGAGGTCAGGATTTCATCAGAAGCTATTACGGGTATATTATCTTTCGCTTTCCTCTTGATTATTATTAGTATTTATATTGCTTTGGAATCTTGTTTGTGTATGGGTAAGCATTATCTCTGGTTTAGTTCACTGTTATTTCCTGAGTTATATCATCAAGAATTGTTATATGTCTTTTTACATGCCGAGAGTCATCAGTGGGTCGTATCTTGCTGAGCGGGTTTCTGTTTGTTCGGTTGTTGTTCCGGTTCTTTGATGGGGTCAATTCAGGGGTATCGTTTGGAAGGTCTATGGTCGAATTAGCTAGTTAGTTCTTCAATGAAGTCAGAGTTTAGTCGTGTTAGCATTTGTTCCGGTAGGAACGACAGTCGTCCATGGAAGGACTTTTGGGCTCAATCATTACCGTTGTTAGGGAAAGAGCGGTAGCAAGAAGATGGCGGTGGCAGTCGCATGAGTTTGTTTGGTCACTGGAAGTTCCAGGGGAATTTTATAATCACAAGGGTTGAAGAGAGTTAGAATCCAGAGATCCTTCTGAGGATGGGAAGTTGGAGTGAAGATTCGCCAGTTTAGAGCAAGGGTTATGGTCTTTGTTACTGGCATGAAGGCCTTAAGGATTTTGTGTTGTACCATGGGAATCAATTGGGGTTATCGGGCTTGCTGAGATTTCGGGGAGTATTCATTTGGATCTCAAGAGTTGTGCGGCCATCGGGATTGGCTAGTAATGGAATGATAGTTCTTGGTAAGCTCATGTCGTCAACGGTTTGAGTTATAAGGAGATAAGATGGGTTAGGAATCCATCAAATTTTCTGGGTTAGGATAGCTTCGACGAATCCAGGTGGGGGAGAATCGTTCATATTTCCGGAGCTGAATCAGGTATGAAACTAGGGTGGGTTTCACATCCCAGTCGGGAGGGAAGACGACTCAAGTGGCCTTCTGGATTGAAGATTGTGTAAATTGGGAGTTCATGAAACTTCCAACAACAAGTTTGCGTCTTTTTTTTATGGATAGAAGGCATGTGGATGGATCCAGGTTGCGGGTTGTGTTAGAGCCTCGCTGCCTGTTCTTGTTTGATGAAGGCTTTGGGGTTCGAAGCATGACCCAAATACTTGATTGGGGTTCATTCGGATGTGGGTTCGATGCAGGATGATTGTGGATGATATGGTAGAGGTGTGGTAAGACCATGGGGTAACCATGGCGGGATAGATGTGTCGTAAGACTGCGGGGTGGCCATATCAATCACTGGATTGGCAGATAGTATGGAAGTGTTGTAAGACTGCGATGGGATCGTAGCATTCACCATATTGAGGTAGACCATCATTGGGTTGGTCGTGAGTATAAAGGAGGATCAGCTCGTGCCTTGGGTAAAGAGGACCATTAGGTTCCGAGGCGAGGTTGGACTTGTGTAGCTCTCGATGGGGTGAGACCCGTAGGTATGGTCCTTTCGTTGGTATAGACTGGGTGAGACCTGTGTGCGAGGCCCATATGATTATGGAATTTCAGGTGAGACCTGGTAGAGACCGGTTGGGTCA